ACCAAGACCGAAGTGCTCCTTTGTATTTCCTTAACTCCTGAGGGGCACAGCATCCACAACCCAAACCACCACTCTCCACATGCTCAAGAACGTGTTTTCAAAGACAAACGGTTCTTCCGGATGCCTCTGTTTCAAAACAGAAGGGCCATCTTCTAACGGTGTGTCTGAAGAACAGTGCTTAGTATCCAGACTCTGAAAATCAGTTCAGAGCGTCTTAAATTAGGCAGCTAATCATACATGCCCCGGCATTCATTGCCCTTTTTGGAAACCCAGGCTCAGTTCAGGGAGATGGTGCAACACGCGGCTGTGCTACAGTCTGGAGAGCAGGCTCAGCCACACGCGTTTTCTGCTGCAGACCAGCCTTCCGCATTGGGTTTTGGTCCCATGTGAGATTGCACCACTTCTGTATGAAGTGTGTATTTAAATATGTTTAAAAATACAAGCCTATTGCTGCTTTACTAGTGTACTTCCTATTCCTGCCTAGCATTTCCTACTTCTCCTTCTGCAAGGCATTAGGCAGGGAAACTAACTCACATCAGATAGACACCTGGTTTATTTTTTGCCCTTTTTTTCTCTTGTAGGAATACTTTCAATTCGCTGTTCGGGCCCAAATTAACTCGCAGCTTAACAAGCAGGAAGAAAACCAGAAAACCTTTAAGGCTCATTAGTCTGATTACACAGAGGTTCAAGCAAGCCCTAGTGCTCTGTGCGCTCAGACCCCCTCCCAGAGGCTCTCCCGGCCCTCCCCACCGCACGCTGCCACGGCGGGCTCAGGGTAATGTCACTACAGCGTGAGGTGCGGATGGAAAAAGCAGGACAGCGGGTGCAAGTACTTTTTCCCTGTTACACAACACAACGTGCCACAGATGGGGCTAAGTCAACGTGCCCCAAAACCCAGCTGCCGGCCCTAGCCCCAGGCACAGAGCTGATGTAAAGATTTCAAGGTTTACATGGTGATTTCGTGAGGAACAAAGTGATATCAGTGGTGCTGCCAACACTGATTTTCCCTTCCTCCTCTATTCAGTAGGAAAGATTTATAAGCAACGTTATTCACGCTACCAAGTGCAAGTTCCTGCCCTTCACGTTTAAGGTAACAAAATCAACCGTGCAGAACTACGAGGAAACGACGGCAAAGATCTCATCTGGAGGCCATGCGCGTGCACACCCAGGAGCGGGTGAGCTCTGCCTCCTCCTATTGCCATAAAGGAGCCAGGTTTTCCCTGTAGACTTTTACTTTTTTAAGTGGGTTTCACGCTGCCAGGCTGACCGCCTGGAAGGCTCGACTTACCCAGTAAGTCCAGAACAGAGAGCAAGGGCCGAGGCTGTGGAAGTCCCCATCCCTCCACCTCCAGCCCCGTCACCTCCTCAACCTGCCGCGCTGCGACGCAGGCCTCGGCCGCACTCGCCAATGTCCTGCCCTCACGCAAACGGGAGCGACGCTGGACTGCGCACAGCCAGGTCCCAGGGGAGTAACCGTTCCTTTGCTGTTAGCCAACCTCAAGCTGTCACCGTTCAATCCGCTGTGAAACTTCCCACATAAAATTGCACTAGCTGCCGGGCAGCCGCTCTTGTTAAAACGACTCTTTAACTCTTCCAGTCAAGCTGTTCTTACTTGCACTGGAGGCTTTTCTACGGTTCAGGAAGCGGCGGAGCAGGCAGCAGCTTTCCCTCTGAGTCAGTACTGAGCTGAGCCATGGCCCGGGCAGCTTTGCAAAGGTCACTGCCATCGTGGGTAGCTTCTTTCTGATAAAATATAAAGCCCTCTGAGCGGCAGGGTCACCACGGCACTTCTGAAGTACAGCCTTAAAAGCCCCTGGTCCGCTCCAAATGCCAGCTCAGGTCATGTTCGGGTTACTTGTTTGCTCCCTCGTTTTAATATATAGGTCTCTTTCAGGCATACTGGACAGTTCAAAGTCACCAGTTTACAATGGATTTGCCTCAAAAGAAGATGTGAAGGCTCATTTAATTAATATCCGTAAAGCTACTATAAAATTTCAAATGACGATTATTGGCATCGTTGTCCCTAATTATGTAAGATTATCTACATTACAAACATAACACCCCTTTTCAATGCTCATTTCTAGATTTAGCAGGAGAGAAGAGACACCCTCTGGTGTGTTTGAAGGATATCCAACTCCACCTCCCAGACACACACAAGTGGCACACGAACGCTCTGCGACCTTGAATAACATTCTCATTAAGAGGGAGATAAGCTCTTTAACAGAAGTACTCTTACGTTTCAGAAGACAATGATTGCTTTTCTACATCTTTGCTGAACTGCCTCCTAGAAACTCGTATGAGAATTAAATCCTAGCTGTAAAATTTCATAAGATTCAAAGAAACCAACCAGCCTGTAGAAAGGAGATGAATCTCTATTCTGTTCTAGGCATTCATACAGTGATAACTTTGGGCTTCCATTGTATTTCCTACAAGATTCATATTACGTCGCCTCCATTATATTACATAGAGCTCTTTCACCAAGTTTAAAAAAAAACCCAAACCCTGTAGGAGACTGCAGCCACCCCCGTATCCCTGCTGGCTTGCTTTCTTTTAATTAGGACAAGATGAACAAACCTAGGAGAGGGGAAGCAGTGTTTGAGGAGGCAAGGGAGATGCTGACTGCACCCGAAACAGAGCATCATTCCGTACTCCAGTGACAAATCCTCTCTGTGGGTGCTCAGCCGGCATCGTCGAGTCAAGGCCAGCACCATCCCCGGAGGGAATACAGGGTCCAGTCCTGAAACACAGCTCGCCGGCTCTCAGGGTAAGTAGGCATCCTGCTGGGATACAGGCAAGATCACTGCCGCAGCCAAGAGGAATAGGAGAGGGGACACAAGCAGTAAGGTGAGCCCTCGCATCATATGTTACATTTGCTAGAGTCAATGATGGTGTGACCCTATTCCCCACATGAAGACCTGGCCAAATGTATAGCTGTCAGGAAAAAAAAGCCCTAAAAAGCTTAAAGCTTTCAAATGATTGAGGCACCGGGTGCACATGGTACCCGCTGGAAGGTGCCTCCAGCACCGTGCCTGCTGCAACGCCGCGCTGATCCAACCGACCCGTCACGGAGCCACAAGCACCACTGTGCTGTTTGTTAAACCCCTCACATCCACACTCCTGTCCTTCCTGCCCCCCCCTAAAAAAGACTCCAAGCTTTGCGAGCACTAACGAGGTTGTCGGCGTTAAAGAAATTATCAGCGATCTCACTCCACTTCCCAGTGGTTCCCATTGAATGGAAGCAGGAGGCTGCATCTAGTTTGTTAATAAATGCGCGTAAACAATATGTTCAAATGTGGAGGCTGAATGAGTCACTGCGTTCCTGTGTTCAAGCTGTGTAATAGGATCCAAACGCAGAACAAGGACCAGCTAACTTAGGGAGTGGACCAGCTAGCTAATGACAATTATTCTTGGCAGGACTCAAACAATCCCAAAATAAAAATGAGTTTCAACATGTACAATATGCTTATAAAGAGCAAATCCACCAGGGCAGTACTGGATCTTAAGGTTTCCTAGGATCCCTTTGCCAGTCTTCCAACGCCGTTTATCAAATAAAATAACCCAGACATGTAAGTATAGAAGAGTTAAACCAGTAAGATTTGTATGCTTCCAGTTAACCAGTTTAACCGAATATATTTACATAACAGAAACATGTAATAAAGTTCTCAGAAGAAAAAATGAATTTGCAATGTAGAAAATACACCTTTTTCACTTTTCACTTCATTTTTCACTCATAAACCGTACCTTTAAACAGTGAGAAAAACTTGTCAAATCACTGTTGCAGAACAAAAATTTAGCAATTCTTAACACTTGCGAATCATTGGTGCACATTAAAATTTTTCTCATTGTTTATAGCTTAGTAATCAAATGCAGATAGTTTCTTCCAGAGAGAAACTTAGAAGGTAGAACTTAAGAATTTTAAGACTATTCAATAACCATATGTTCCTGATTACTATAGAAAGATACAATGCTAATTAACAAAAGCAAAAAAACCCCCAGGAAAATGAGTATCACAGAATAAGCAGAATACATACAGCGAAAGGAAAGAGTTCCCAGAGCTCCCTGTGACGCTGGTGAGAAACGACTTCAAAGAAGATAAGGCGGCCCCTGAATAAAGTATCAGGTTTTGCTTCATAGTTGCTGATAAAATCCAAAATAAGGCTGCAAAAACATTAGCTTCTACTGAAGCTTGCTTACTCACTACAAAGCGTCAAACACACCTCCATCCCACACTTGAAACGCAGATGCTGCCTCCTAATGAACCGCTTGCTGCAAGGGGGGAATACCGTTATACAATACCCAGAAGGCTATTTCTTGATGCAGAAACATAACTGGGTTTTGACTCAGAGAAATGCAGCAGTGCCTAGGAGCTGAGGGTTTCGGTGATAAAAATCATCCAAAAATAATTTGGCTGTTGAGAAAAAAATTTAACAGGAAGCAGCCTGAAGAAATGTGCCTTCTGAAAGAGAAATTTCCACCTATGGGTTTATTACATTACATAAACACAGACCTCCTAATCTAGCCCAACAATAAATCACTGCAAGCTGCTGAATCAAAGCTGACAGTAAAACTGGAGCAGGTTAGCATCTGTTCAGCCTGAGAAACGATGCTCTGATTTTAGCAGCTTTCATACCCCGAATACACAGTGCAGCAGTGGCTGGGAACATATTTGCATTCACATGCTGAAAAAGCACAGATCTTGTAAAACATATTTAGGAACTGGTGAGACGTGATACATATATTGACTAATTCTGTAGGCCTTTGGAGAAAATTGGTCTTCAGAGGAATGCTATTCTTATCACTTGAGTAGCTAAACATCATTCTCCTTGGAAGTAAAATTCCTTATTCCATACTGTAGATTTTCAAAGATTAGGGCTCAAATCACTGAATGATCTTGCATATATTGAAATTTCATCAAAACTCAGTGCCAGCTGGACACTGAGTTCTCTTAAAACATTTCGCTCCCAATCTGAACAGGAAAGAAAAGAAATCGTCCTATTTACCATTTTGTGGATCCATGTTGCGCTCTCTGCAAATAGCGGATTCCTCAGTTCCCACACACCAGTACATTCTGGGTCGCAGTTGTGAAGATCCAACAGACAAACTTTCTGCAGCACTTAAAATTGAGTACTGTTGTCAGAGCTGATTGATGTCCGTCAAGTAAACGCAGGAGCAGAGCGACCACTAATAAGTGCCATCCCGAAGAAACATCATTTATCCTGTTTAAAAATAAATAGTTAACCAAATTAATCGTTCTAGTATAGAAATTGCAAGATGTTTATTCCTCTGCACTCTAACACTGTCTAAATATTACTTTGCATAAGGCACTCACCATCCTATGCAAATATAAATACAATTATTTTCATAATAGCTTTGTTAAGTGCATAATGTGAATTAATAGAGGAGACTAACAATGTCTCCACTATAGGAAAGATAATGTTCCCAATTTTTCTCCACCAAAGCCGCTCAGTCTTTGAGAGGGTGTGGGGCGTGGGCAGGGGTCACAGCTGCAGTTGCAGATTCTCCACAACCTCGTGTAAAGGCAGAGCATTGAAACCATGCAGTGCAGCTGGAAAAATCCTAAATGCAACCTCAAAATCTTTCCCATCCACAGAGAAGACTGTGGCTCTTGTAAGACTCCACTGTGAGAAACTGAAAAATACCAATGTGGTTACTGAGACAATCCTCTGTAGAAAAGAGGGCTAAGAGAAACACACCAGCTCCTTTCCCCTTTCCCCGGTCCTTTTAGAGAACTCTGCTAGCCTAGAAGCATCGGGCTTCTTCAAACATGTTCAGGGAGGCAAATCAGGCCCGTAGGAGCTCTTGAAGGTTGGCTTCTTCTGCACTGTCTTGCATAACAGCCAGCAGAAGACTGCACAGCTCAGTCTCCCAGGGCATTTCCAGCTCCTTACCTCTTTAAAGCTGCACACCTGTAATTTTCTCTCTTTTAATGCATCTTCCCCAGAGGTTAAAACTACAGGTGAATTTGCAGCATGCGCCCAACCAGCATCAGTGCTCCTTCATTTTCTGCTTTCAGTCAGTAAATGCCTCTCCGACGTAACATGATGCCCCTCACCTTTGACTCTTACTAGTTTTTCTCATGTCTGGTGCGTGATGCTGAAGTTTTGATTGGAGGTTCTAATTCGGCAAAGTATGTAACCAACCCCCCACTTCGGCCAGCAAGAGCCAAGAATATCCCTAACTCTCCCTGGGCAGAGTTAGTTTCCTGATTTGGGATCAAAGGCCACAGAAAGTATAAGATCAGCCACTGATCCATCACCACTCTCCAGGAAGCTTTCTGCACCTCCCTCGTTACACAGGGTTTTAACCACCAGCCTACAATGTTAAAAATCACTGCATGCTACATCAGTTGTTTCTAGGCAAAAATCTGAGTTTTAGGTGCACTTACAGCAAAACGCAGCTTCTGATGACCCCTACTTTGTGGTGCCTGGCAGCAGGAACCAAAACTCACACCCCAAGCGCTGCTCACCCCCTGCATCCCACAGCCTGGGTGCTGGCTGCTGCCACAGATGGTGGTTTCGTTCTTTGGTGTTTTTCAGAGATGGGAAAAATAATTTGGGCGCCGCATAGCAAATAATGATATGGACCAAGAGACCTGGGCCAGGCCACGTGCCAGCACTTTCACACCCACCCCGCAGCTTTTATCTCCTTTGCAGCGGGGTGGCTACAGCTCCAGAGGGATGCAGATGCCTGAGTTGCCGAGCATCAATTCCCCCCCATCACAGACTGCAGCAGCAGCTCGTCTCCCAGGCCAGGCCCTGGCAGCTCTCGCACGCCAACGCAGCAGCAGTCGGGCACATGTGAGAGGCTGAATTCGGCAGCTTTCACCCACACAAGGAGGGGAAGCCGTGGGCTGCTGCAGGAGGCCGAGATGGAGGTGGTCCCTAAGCTCAGATCCATCCCACAAACCAGTGAACTGGGCCGTGTTGGTGGAGGACCGGGTTCTGCCCTGGAACATGCTGAGTTCCCACCAGAGTCAGCCTGGCTCCTGGGTCGAGCTTCCCTCGGCCACGCTGGCAGGCACGGCTGCTGCGCTGGCACCCCACATCTCCGCCATGTCGCGGGCGCGATACCCCAGGCAGAGGTGTCAGGGAGGCTCTCACGCCCCCCGAAAGCTGTCCAGATTGTTAACTCTGAAAATGGGACGGGATGCTTCCAGCAGCTGCCTCCCCTGCACCCTCGCTATAAATGAACTGAGCAGCTACAGTAAGAATAAATACTTCCCCATGCAGAGACCAACAGACTAGCTCTTTTTAGCAGATGCTGGTTTCTGAGGCATTTCCTTGCTGTATGACGGGGGCACACCATGTGTACTCACAGCAACCGTATGAGAAACACCGAATGGGGGTCACGATGGACACAGAGGCTTGAAAAGCATCCCACTCCTGATTTTTAGGTTTCTACTTAGCTTATTCCCCATGCTGAAACTTTCCTCACATATAGAGAAAGGAAAACACTTTCAGGAAAAATAACAGTGTGGTTTTGATAATCAGTTCCCTTTAACTGCAAATTAGGACACTAAATGCTGTAGCCGTGTGTATTACTGCCCCACAGCGCACATCTAAGCAGTATTTCCATATTTCGGGACCTTTATGCATATAATAAAAAACCCCCTACAGTGCTTTTACCTTAAGCAAGATACACTCAACTGTAACACGTACAAAAACCATGTTTTCATTTGATTTAGGGAGAGGAATCCTACAGGCTCTGCAGAATCTCATTCAGGACGAGGGCCATGCAGAAGACACCTGAATGCTGATTTACATCATGTTTCACACGTTCCCAGTTTCTCCCCTGGGAACATTCAGAGAGTGTCCCAGCAACATGCGACCGTGCCCGTACCATCCCGAGCATTTCCTCTCCTCTTTGCCAGCCCATCCAGTCTCACCGCATGCATCGTCTCTAAATGCAGCAAGGAGCCCAAAAACACCACGGTTTGCCCGAGATCACTTTCCAATTCACAAGAAACCTGCCAAAACTTGCTCAAGACTGCCTGCTGTTTCTGAGAAGCCCGTCTGGGGCCGGGCACTCTGATGGGTATCGCCACGGGTCTACAGAGGCCCAAGACACCGTCGGGGTGGAAACGTGCTGGGGGCTCAT